ATCAGCCCAGAAATATTTCTTTCGATTGTAGTTGCTGTAGCATGGTGCAGGACACAGTGGCATATCACACGTGTTGCACCTATAGTGTGTGTCCTTCCTTTGATCAGACATTCTGCACACACGACACCTCACACGCTTCTGTATCTTTACTTGGGTATGGGACAAGTTTCTGTTGAGGCGTTCTGGGTTATCCACAATACGGTGTCTTTTGGAAGCAGCAGCACCACTAAGTATAATCAGACTCTCGTCGTTTGACCCAGTTGATCAAGGTAAAGCTACAGGTCCAGGTAAAGTGAATAGTGGGCGCCTCACACCTGATGGTCCTGGTATTGAAGGTCCGGGTGTTGCAACATTTGCTCCAGTGGCATTTACATCAGGAGCATGTGGGATGTCATCGTTTTCCTGAGGCCACTTACTAGTCTTAAAAAACAGTAGTGCCAAAATTACTTCTTCGTGGAAATGGAGTAATGTTAGTTTCCTTCTATCTATAGTGTAGTATTTGTACAAAACATAAGCATTGTGTATAGCCATTTGCAAAAAATTGAAGTTTTTTTCTTCTTGGTCAATTCGTGACTTTTCCTTGTGAAGAAATAATATTTGACCATTTGGTCAAAGTGATCAACACCTTTCATGTTTGAATTGTTTTCACAGATTGCATTGGGCTTGTTGGCAGTTACCTGTTGCACTGAGGAAGTTCCATCACGATTCCGTTCTCGTTTTCTACGTTCAACTTGTTGTGTTTCTGCATTGTGGCAAGTTGTTATGAGTGAAACAACTCGCTTATCCTTCCACAAAATTATGAAACTATTGTTCTTGCGTTTGAATAAAGTTGTATCCACAGCCACTTTACCCTTTGCTTGCATCTGAAGGGTTTTAGGTGCACCACGTTGCATGAGTGGTACCGCAGGTGAATACCCCCCTACTTCAAACAGCAATTCACTCACCCTAACATAATTATAATAGTTGTCTTTATATAGGTGGTAACCTTTGTTCTTCAGAGGTTCTATCAAGCCCAATTACAGTTTCAATCGTCGTTTTCTCAATTCCAGCATAAATTTCAAAATAAAAAATGTAGCCAGTCTTGGATTCAGCTAGCATGTAGACCTTTATACCATATTTATCAGGATTATTGGGATTATAGGTCTTGAAAGATAGACGGCCACGCCATGCCATTGTCCCCTCATCCAAACTCATATTTCTCTGGGGAATGTATAATGTCTTGAATTTATTTTTGAGATAGTACATGACTGATCGAACTTTGATTAGTCTGTCCACATTTTTGCCTTGTGGAATGGATTTATTGTTGTCAATATGAAAATATTTTCCAATCATTTCAATCGTTTACAAGTCAAAAAGGTGTTGAAACATGTTATGTGTCGGAATCTGGCTGCTTGCCAGACCATTCTAATTCTTGCCAACGGGCAAATACCCATCAAGATTGTCAGTCCCAAATATCTGGCCATGTCTTTCACTGTCACTGGTTTCCATCTCTTGTTTGTCGCTGTCCCAGTACTTCCCAAAGCCCCATGGCTTTGGGAAGCATACAGATTAGTTTCATAAGCCATATATTTCAACAAGCTTTGAGTGAGAAATTCTTGAATAAAACCCAAAGCAGTGGTAGTTACAGGAACAGTCAAGCCTGATGTAGCTGTAAAACTCTCTACAAAGGGTGGAGTATTGTCACTACACCACCCTTCATCAGAACCTGTTGTTGGTGGGGTACATGTGGTAAGTCTGGCTCTGGCACGAGCCCCAGTACCTCGCCGTGCACGAGTGGCAGTCTCAACCTCAGACTCCTCACTTCCATCACTATCAAAATCCTCCTCCACCGTTTCAGTTTCAATACACTCACTAACTTCATCAGTGTCAGTATCAACAACACTTTCGTCACTAGAAAACTCCCACAAATCGTTAAATACAGCCTGAAACTTAGAGGGTGTGAGTCTCACTCGCTTATACTTCTGTTGCATACTACTTGGCTTCTCCCTTTCACACATTTTTTTCGCTAATCTCTTCCTGGCATGACTCTGTTCATGATCACTATCCATTGTGGAGTAAGTGCAGATAGTTTCTGAAGCCGCAGTAAGAATAAAAGCCACGGAAAATAGCCGAAATGTTCACACGTTGGAGAGGCGAGGGGAGGAGACACCGGTCACAACCGTGGAGCGAAAACAATGGGCCTGGGTGCCACGAGGCCTATCAAGGAAAACGGGAAGACGCTGCCGCGCAGTTTAAAACCGGTCCCCCAAAAATAAAATAATTTTTTTTATTGGATAAAAATATTTTTTATCAAATAATTGCCCGGATTTTTGGGAAATATTTTAATAAACGACGCAATGCGGCGTCATTACCAGAAGTCGGTCTACTAAACGGACGACGCAATGCTGCGTCGTTACCAAGCCATAGTGATAATTATTAATGTGGGTTGGGGACAGTGGCGTCTCGTGGGAGGAATACCCATATATGGAGTCTACACTGTTGCATGCAATTGTACCAACTTAGTGTCATGATAAACCATTGTAATTATTCCTTATTATTGTATGTACATTTTGTTTAATTACACCGTATTGGTGATAATTATTCCCAAAAGAATGTAAATTTATGTTAATAAGTATTGCTGTTGGCTAGCAGAGTATATGAGAGTATTCATGTGAGTCTTAGTGGTAATGAGTAGATGCCATGCTTAGTAGGCGTCGTGTTAGCCAGTCACCTGAGTAGAACTTACAAGGTTGGACATGTAATCAAGAGATAAGTAATTTTGCCTGTTTACTTCAGTAAACATAACTAATTATCTGGTAAGACCATTATTTGCATAATCATCTATTCATGTAAGATTTAATCCTGTGATCAGTACTTCTTAGGTGTTATTTCACCCCATTGATTGTCTTATTTCATATTTTATATTATATTTCTGTGTTTTTGTTACCTCTTCATGAAGTATATTGATTAGTTTGTGAAGCAGTCGTTTCTGTGATCCCAAGACAAATTGATATTAACAAGGCCGCTATTATTATTAATTTTCGACTGCAAGGCACATGAACCGTACCCTGATGCATAGTGGTTTATACCAAAGCACAAACCCGTCTTTTAAACTTCAACACTTTAGAGTCAGAGGCCACTCCCCCCAATATCTACAATCTTAACATCGTGATAGTCTCCAGTATGTCTCTGTGAATGATTCAGATTCTCCCACCCTTCCCATTAACATTAGTGTTCCACAGGGCAGTATACTTGGTCCTCTTCTATTTCTACATTAATGACCTTTGAATATGTTACAAACCCGTTTCAATGATTCCAAATGCATTGATAAATTGAATTTTCATAGATTTCGATATATTTTAATTTTGATTTAAATATTTTGTGTGACACTTTCAGTGTCACACTGTGGCACTGGAATTGAGCTGTGTTGTTTACCATATCATTCATTTCACAAGTATAACTATAGATGCCAGACCTATGACAGGTTTTTTTTCTTTTTTAAACAGCGCCATCTGTTGCATGTAAGAGCAACACACGCTATACTTAATAAGTTATGATTCCATTTCAGTGTTTCAGATGGCATCGATAGATAAATTGAATTTTCATCGATTTTGAACTATTTTCATTTTGATTTAATTATTTTGTGTGACATTGCCTTGGAATTGAGCTGTGTATTTATCATACCATTTATTTCATAAATATATTTTATGTTTGAACCTTTTCATTGTTTTTCATTTAGCTTTTAACTTATCTTCTTATTTTTCAGTGATGTAGACGTCAGATCATTTGCTGTTCCCAATTTTCTGAAGGAGGGATTTTATAATATAAATTCATTTTATTATATAAATACATCTTACTACACACTATCAAATAATATTACTTAAAAAAAACAGAGAAAAAAAGAGATATTGAAATGATTACATAATATCTTTGTGGCAACTCCCACCTGACAGCTGGACGGAGCCAACCGCCACCGATACTCTGTCAATGCTCCAATTTGCCAGACTATTGCCGCCAAAATATGTCATTTTGCACTATTGCGGCCAAAATATGTCAACTACGATTTTTTTATTCTTTTTTCCCTGATCAGGGATCACAAATGAACACTCTTATATGACCAATTTTTTATTTTTTTTTGGCACCTGGCGGTGTTGTAGGCTAATAAGCCCCTAGCACTTTAAGGGTTAAAGAAGGCATTAGTTGTTGATCATATATTATTTTGTCCAGTGCATTTGATGAGCGTTGGATCATAGCGTAGGCAAGGAAACGAAGTTGTTACTCTGTATATTTAGGGCGAGTCTTCATATCTTTTTCCTGTTCTTTCATTCTTTACAATGATCAATCCATTTCTAGTATAGCACTGCTTGATAAGATCTGGGTTTTGTTTGCAAATTTGACGCAGCCTGTAGAGAATATTATATCATCAATGTTAACAAAATATTCCAATGTTTACCTTAATTTCACCTTAATATATACATACATATTTTTAAATAATTGAACTTCATATAATACGTGCGATTTTGAATGTTAAAGGGATGATTGTCATAGATACTCGATAAGAGGTTTAGTTATGTGTCTATACTAGGCTGCACACAACAGGATGTTTGATAGGGCTTGAAAACGATTCATCATATACCCAGTTTATACAATGACATATATTTTGTACAAGTGAGAAATTTATGTATATACAAGTGACAATAATATTTACTTCTATGAAGACCAGACCACACACTAGAAGGTGAATGGACGACGACGTTTCGGTCCGTCCTGGATCATTCTCAAGTCGATCGACTTGAGAATGGTCCAGGACGGACCGAAACGTCTCCGTCCCTTCACCTTCTAGTGTGAGTGGTGTGGTCAACATTCTTCAGCCACGTTATTGTGACTCATCGCCTGCTTACTTTTATGAAGTTCCTGGTATAAGGACAATTATTACAGGCAGATTTATATGTAAACAATAATTATTTAATGTTATAAGGTTTCATCAGCTACTTAAAGTACCCTTTTTTCACAACATGAAGGTTGGTGGAGATGTCTGGAGTGTGGCGGCTGCCGGAGACGGTGGTGATAGCCATAGGTGGGAGGGCGGGGGTGAGGGCCGTGCTCCTCCACCACAGTCTCCGCAACACTGTCCACGCCCTCTACCTCGCCCTCCACCACGCCTCCCTCCACGCCCTCAACCTTACCCTCCATCATACCTCCCACCACAGCCCTCCACCACACCATGCGTCCGGCTTCAAGAAGGTCCGCACCCAGGAAGGTCAGTAAATATAATATAAATGAATGTTCTGCTGTGCTCCTTTTCCTAATGACTTTAATTTTTAAATCTTTAACCCCATTCACTGCACAGGAGTTCCTTAAGCTGCTTGACTGGAGGTGTGCATAGCGCCTTCTCGCAGTTGTGGGTATATTGTAAGATTGAAAACGCGCACACAGTAAGTTGGGTATCCGATAGAGGCATCATGCCTTAAGTGAGCGTCCCCTATCTTGTAAAAAAAATCCCGCTCTGGCCGACATCTGCCAGTAGACATAGTTTTGAGTGAGCGACCATAGCAAATGTACGCACATCTAAACAACCCCCCCCCCCCCGTCTTCTATAGATCGAGGGGGTTGAAAAACCTAACCTGTCCTCTTACAAAGAACATCGCAGTTAGATCGTATGCATTACATAAAGCCAAAAATTGTCGTACGTGAATATGGAAGTGCCTTTCAAAAGTGACGTACTGCCCCGTTTTCTGTTTTTGGTCCTCTGCTTGGTTAGGATAGGACACTTTAATTTGCCCGTTTTTTTGACGTTGGGAAACCTTAGGAGGACAGGCTGGAAAAAACCGCTCTCTGAGAATGACATGAAAATTACATGATTTATTTTTTTAACAATATAGTAATAGTGATGATGACGAACCAAAATCTGATGTTGACCTATTTCAACGATCAGATAATCCCTGTATAATATATTATACAGTTAATTTGTAGTTATTTTAGTCCACCTTGAACAAAATATGACATTTTAAGAAATCCCTTTCGAATTAAACCAATATACATTAGTCAGAATTAAAACACACATTAGTTAGAGGGATAGAACTCCTATACAAGAAAATATTCAGCATGGATTATAAAGTCATATTAATTGAGGCATTTCTACATACACATGGTACTGTGTATGTTTCAGGGTGATTCTAAACGTCATGGTTTCGAATCCTGTCGGGACCATCTAGAGTTAGTGATCTCTAGCTTGCACGTTCATACAGCCTCACACACACACACACACACACACACACACACACACCACAACACACACACACACACACACACACACACACCACACACACACACACACACACCACACCACCACACACACACACACCACACACACCACACACACACACACTACAAGACATGATGGACTATGTCACCCAAAAATGTCAGGAGGCTGTAAGCAGGTTTGTCCCAGCCCGACAGGAAAATCCGAGAAGCAAAGGAAGAATCCGTGGTTTAATAGGGAATGTATGAAAGCAAAGGAGCTGAACAAAAGGGCATGGAGGAACTTCCGTAATAACAGAACACCAGAAAGTAGAGAGAGATACCAGAGAACCAGGAACGAGTATGTTAGTGTGAGAAGAGCAGCTGAGAAAAGGTATGAAAATGATATAACTATAAAGCCACGACCGAACCAAAGCTGCTGCACTCAGTCACATCACAAGGAAGACAACAGTGAAGGAACAGGTAATGAAACTTAGGATAGGCGAGACAGGTCACTACAGAGAATGACAATAGAGGTGTGTGAAGAACTCAACAAGAGGTTCCAGGAGGTCTTCACAATAGAACAGGGAGAAGTCACGGTGCTAGGAGAGGTGGCAGCAAACCAGGTGACCTTGGAAAGTTTCGAAATTACAAGAGATGAGGTCAAGAAGCACCTGCCTGGAGCTGGATGTGAGAAAGGCTGTTGGGCCAGATGGAATCTCACCATGGATACTGAAAGAGTGTGCAGGAGCACTTAGCTTGCCACTCTCCATAGTGTATAGTAGGTCACTGGAAACGGGAGACCTTCCAGAAATATGGAAGACGGCTAATGTAGTACCAATATACAAAAAGGGTGACAGACAAGAGGCACTGAACTACAGGCCAGTGTCCTTAACTTGTATACCATGCAAGGTGATGGAGAAGATTGTGAGAAAAAACCTAGTAACACATCTGGAGAGAAGAGACTTCGTGACAACCCATCAACATGGGTTCAGGGAGGGTAAATCTTGCCTTACAGGCTTGATAGAATTCTATGATCAGGTGACAAAGATTAAGCAAGAAAGAGAAGGATGGGCGGACTGCATTTTTTTTGGACTGTCGGAAAGCCTTTGACACAGTACCCCATAAAAGGTTGATGCATAAGCTGGAGAAACAGGCAGGAGTAACTGGTGGGGCGCTCCAGTGGATAAGGGAGTACCTAAGCAATAGGAAGCAGAGAGTTATAGTGAGGGGTGAGACCTCAGATTGGCGTGAAGTCACCAGTGGAGTCCCACAGGGCTCTGTACTTGGAAGGACAGCTTGAGGCTTCAAGAAGACCTGGACAAGCTGCAGGAATGGTCGAACAAATGGATGTTAGAGTTTAACCCAAGCAAATGTAATGTAATGAAGATAGGGGTAGGAAGCAGGAGACCAGATACAAGGTATCACTTGGGAGATGAAATACTTCAAGAGTCAGAGAGAGAGAAAGACCTGGGGGTTGATATCACGCCAGACCTGTCCCCTGAAGCTCATATCAAGAGGATAACATCAGCAGCATATGCCAGGTTGGCTAACATAAGAACGGCCTTTAGAAACTTGTGTAAGGAATCTTTCAGAACATTATATACCACATATGTCAGACCAATCCTGGAGTATGCGGCTCCAGCATGGAGTCCATATCTAGTCAAGCATAAGACTAAACTGGAAAAGGTTCAAAGGTTTGCCACCAGACTAGTACCCGAGCTGAGAGGTATGAGCTACGAGGAGAGACTACGGGAATTGAACCTCACTTCGTTGGAAGACAGAAGAGTTAGGGGGGACATGATCACCACATTCAAGATTCTCAAGGGAATCGACAGGGTTGATAAAGACAGGCTATTTAACACAGGGGGCACACGCACTAGGGGACACAGGTGGAAACTGAGTGCCCAAATGAGCCACAGAGATATTAGAAAGAACTTTTTTAGTGTCAGAGTGGTTGACAAATGGAATGCATTAGGAAGTGATGTGGTGGAGGCTGACTCCATACACAGTTTCAAGTGTAGATATGATAGAGCCCAATAGGCTCAGGAACCTGTACACCTGTTGATTGACAGTTGAGAGGCGGGACCAAAGAGCCAGAGCTCAACCCCCGCAAGCAAGCACAACTAGGTGAGTACACACACACACACACACACACACACAGACACATGGCTACTAGAATTCAACACACAAATGTAAAGTTATGGAAATGGGACTAGGAGACAGGAGACCAAAGGGACAGTACACAATGAACACAGCCTACCTGTAACGACGCGTGAAAGAGACCTGGGGGTGGACGTAACACTAATCTATCTCCTGAGGCACATATAAATAGGATAACGACAGCAGCGTACTCTACACTGGCAAAAGTTAGAACATCATTCAGAAAACTAAGTAAGGAGGCATTTAGGGCGCTTTACACTGCCTACGTAAGGCCAGTCTTAGAGTATGCCGCCTCATCATGGAGTCCCCATCTGAAGAAGCATATAATGAAACTGGAAAAGGTTCAGAGGTTTGCAACGAGACTCGTCCCAGAGCTACGAGGGATGGGGTATGAAGAGCGCCTGAGGGAACTGTGCCTTACGACACTAGAAAGAAGAAGGGAGAGGGGGGACATGATAGGAACGTATAAGATACTCAGAGGAATTGACAGAGTGGACATAGACGAAATGTTCACACGGAATAGTAACAGAACGAGAGGACATGGATGGAAGCTTGAAACTCAGATGAGTCACAGAGATGTTAGGAAGTTTTCTTTTAGCGTGAGAGTAGTGGGGAAATGGAATGCACTTCAGGAACAGGTTGTGGAAGCAAATACTATTCATAATTTTAAAACCAGGTATGATAGGGAAATGGGACAGGAGTCATTGCTGTAAACAACCGATGCTCGAAAGGCGGGATCCAAGAGTCAATGCTCGATCCTGCAAGCACATATAGGTGAGTACAATAGGTGAGTACACACACACACACACACACGTTAGTAACAGCTGATTGATTGACAGTTGAGAGGCGGGCCGAAAGAGCAGAGCTCAACCCACCACAAGCACAACTCGGTGAATACACACACACACACATACCAGAGGGCATAGTGTGTATGGGGAGGGCACCACTCAGAGTGTTGATGCAACACCAGGGATTGGGACAACACCAGAGGGTTGGGGCAACACCATAGGATTGGGACAACACCAGAGGGTTGGGGCAACACCATAGGATTGGGACAACACCAGAGGGTTGGGGAGGGCAATACACCCACCCTTCTCCACTTAGAAACCCTCACTACCCCTCACCCTCCCTCCCCCCACCCAAACGCTCAATCAACCCTCCCTCCCCCCTCACCCCATACCTGTCAACCCTCCCTCATTCCCGCCATGTCCCCCCTCCCTCCTTTCCCTCCCCTGTCCTCCCCCTTCTTCCCATACCCTCCCTATCTTCCCTCCCCCTCACCCCATATCCTCCATGTCCCCCCTCCCTCATTACCTTATAGCCCCCTGTCTCCCCTTCCCTTGATCCCTCCACCCCTCACCCCAGTATCCTCCGAGACCCTGTTGACCACCTCTCAAATCTTCACACCTATGGAAGAGCTTCCTCCACCAGCAGAACACTCACCAAGAAGGGGACAAGAGAATGAGTTCAAGAAAGTGAGCTTCAAGGCAATGTACACTAATATAGATGGGATTACAAATAAAACAAGTGAACTTGGAGAATGGGCACTGGAAGAAAATCCAGACATAATAGCACTCACAGAAACAAAATTAACGAAAACTATAACAAATGCAGTGTTTCCACAGGACTACTATGTAGTGAGGAAAGAGAGAGAAGGAGAGGAGGAGGTGGTGTAGCTCTGCTGATAAGAAAAGGCTGGAGTTTTGAAAAGATGGTTATTCAGGGTTGTGATGATTTCAATGACTACATATCAGGCACCATAGCAATTGGAGGACAAAAAAATATAGTAGTAGTCATATAACTCCCCACCAAACGACGGAAGACCCAGACAGAGAAACAACATGGCCACCATTAATATAATAGAGAGAGCAGCTTCTGTCGCTAGCAGGAACGGATCCAGACTACTAATCATGGGAGACTTCAACCACGGGAAGATAGATTGGGAGAACAGAGACCCACATGGAGGACCAGACACATGGAGAGCTAAGCTGCTGGACGTGGCAACAAGAAACTTTCTAAGTCAACACGTCAAGGGACTGACAAGAATGAGGAGAGGATGAACCAGCTATTCTTGATCTAATATTTACCCTAAATGAGTCGGATATAAGGGAAGTTACGTTGGAAGCCCCGTTGGGAATGAGTGATCACAGTGTATTGAACTTTGAGTACCTGGTAGAGCTAGGAATTATCCCCCCCCCAAAAAAGAACTGGGAAACAAAGGGCTGGCGTACTGAAAGGGAAATTATGAGGAGATGAGAAAATTCCTATGGGATATACCATGGGACACAGAACTCGGAACTAAGTCCGTAGACATGATGGACTCAAGACATGATGGACTATGTCACCCAAAAGTGTCAGGAGGCTGTAAGCAGGTTTATCCCGGCCCGACAAGAAAAAAAAACAGAGAAGCAAAAGAAGAATCCGTGGTTTAATAGGGCATGTATGAAAGCAAAGGAACTGAACAAAAGGGCATGGAGGAACTTCCGTAATAACAGAACACCAGAAAGTAGAGAGAGATACCAGAGAACCAGGAACGAGTATGTCAGTGTGAGAAGAGCAGCTGAGAAAAGGTATGAAAATGATATAGCTAATAAAGCCAAGACCGAACCAAAGCTACTACACAGTCACATCAGGAGGAAGACAACAGTGAAGGAACAGGTGATGAAACTTAGGGTGCAAAGCGAGGACAGGTACACAGAGAATGACAAAGAGGTGTGTGAAGAACTCAACAAAAGGTTCCAGGAGGTCTTTACAATAGAACGAGGAGATGT